GAATTATAATGACACATACGGCTTTGACATCGGTGAATATATATATTTATTAAACCTGCTAGTACGATTAATCACCTCTGATATCTGGAGAATATCAGTATAACGCACATTGCACTTCCACACGTACATTAATAAATGTAAATTTATCACGTGTTCTTTTTAATAAAAATCTGGTCTTGATAAAGCTATCTCTCGGGACATTGTTGAAATCTCGTCACTGGGACTTTAGAGTTTTTACAGTCCACACTTAGTTTAAATCTCGAGTACAGATATTTAATCCATATCAAGAGGTTTTGTTCACATCTTTCCTGAAGGTGGCAAGCGTGACCATATTGTATTCTCGGCTTATCAAGAATACTCCTTCAGATTTGACGTCTCGGAACACCGCTTCTATTATTCAAAATCGCGTATTTAAATATAATATACATTGTCTGTTCTTAAAACAATGGTGATGTCTACGCCTAGTTGTATATATATTCTACATTTTAAGGGTATAACTAACTCGAAGTGTTTTACGTATACTGTTCTTAAATACGTCCTGTCATCTTTATAATACTTTTAAAAAGTATGCACACATATTTTGCTGAAATAAGATTTTTAAAATACAACTATTATTCGTTTACCAAATTTAATATCAATGAATGTTTTCCGTTTCGCTTTCACGAATGCGTTAAGGTAAACATCACCAACACGTTTTATTTATCGGCAAGTTAACAAAGCGTTTTGAGTTTACGATTTTTTTAAAATAAGGGTGTCTACTATAGCAGATGTATATAGGTAAAACAAAGTACTTATATGATATGTGTGGCTAGCTTGGTCCTCGGTTTGACAAATTTTCCTCAGTCAACACGACATTCCAAAGAAGCTTAGCCTCGAGATTATGGTCATACGGTTCATTACAATGTTATCTTGGTCCAAAAGCTGCCGCTAAGTGGTCAATTTCTGGACGGCCAATTACGGTCAATTATCATTTGACTTGGTGCAGAAGTATAAGAGGATAGCTATATTGATCGCCAGGTGAAACCAGGATGGATTTTGGAGTATGGATTCCTCTGACAGAGGATCAAGCGGATGAAGTTGGGGATGACATCACAAGTCGGAGTCTGTCGTCTGCTCGTGAAAGCACGATGGATGTGAGAGGTGAGTATGTACATATCGCCTGCTCGTGGAAGCACGACGGATGTGAAGGTGAGTATGTACATAATGTCTGCTCGTGGAAGCACGATGGATATGAGAGGTAAACATGTAGATATTTTCTGCTCGTGGAAGCACGATGGATGTGAGGGATGAGTATGTTTATATCGTGTCTGCTTGTGAATGTACGATGGATGTGAGGGATGAGTACGTGTATATCGTCTGCTCTTGGAAGCATGATGGATGTGAGGGTGAGTATTTGTATGTCGTCTGCTCGTGAAAGTAGTGACAATATAGTATATATTCATTTCTTTCATTTCTTCATAATATGAAAAGTTTTAATTGACCTTATCGAACAAAGAAACTATGCGAAATCTGTCACCTGATGTGAACTTTCCAAATACCCTCTCACGGTTTTCATTGTTTACAAATTCATTTGCAACATCAAATAAATGAATAGATGCAGTTGCCTCTTTGTGGACATGAAGTAGCATGCAGTTGTTCAGACGTTGTTGTGTCATTGTTGATCGCAGATAGGTTTTGATTCTGCGCAATGCTGCTGCTTACCGTTCACTCACAGCATTGGTTGCTGGTATCAATAGTAACAATTTCAGAAGTTTTACAACTTCGCAAACAATCTCTCGTTGATTTGGCGTCATTTTCCGTGTCATTTCCAAGATATCCTTCCACTAAAATACTTTTTTTGAGTATTTCCATGGCGTTCAATTAGTTACACTCTTACGTAAGAGAATAGGACTTTCAAGTGAGTAGAGTCAATGTCATCTGAGTATGCTGACTCCATGCTTAACAGCTCTTTGTCGAAGGGCTTGTCATTGGCAGCATTGGCCACAAGTAATTCCATGTCCGATAGAATTCCATAACTGGTTTGATCAAACCTATCTTTGATACCTGTTATTGCACAGTCAAAGGATTAATTCCCGATTCTGTGGTATTAATCCTCAGGAGATGACGGAATTTCAGGTTCGGCTCTACCTGTCTCAAAGCGTGCCGGGGTTCGTCTACTCCCCGGTAGACAAGGTTTCGGTAAAGACAGTTTCTCTTTCTCCCAACAAAGAGAATTCCAAAACAAACTTTCCGGACCTCATGTTTTCAAAAGTTTTGATAGTACCACGCGCTAGTTCCTGGCCTTCAGAAGCGGACATATGCGAATGTTGAAGAGTGCGGAACAAATTTTCTGTCATTTTCAATATAATGCTTAGTTTTTATGTGTATTTTAGCTTTTAAATTTGCAACCAAACAATGTTAAAACCCACCAGCTTAAGTGGGCTTCGCATGGACCCACTGGGGACCTTAAGGCGGCCCCAGAACCCCTGCTTTAATTATGTATATAGGCCTTTAGCATCGCTGACGAGTCACTAGAAGGACGGAACAGCTGTATGCTGCAGTTTAATTAGTTGAGGTTTGCTCTAGCTCTAAAGTTGTATCAAAATGTGTTATTCACTTGTGTCTTTTGTACTATTTTGATATCATTTGGTACGATGGACATAAGAAAGTTGTAGCCAGTCACAAGATTCCTTAGATGAACATGTCAAGAGAATTGAGCTAAGCTCTGTCCATTGAAGAAAAAGTAAAGAGCCTACAGATGTCAGTGACAACGTATACTTGACGTGAACTATTCATATAGGACATCTTCATTTCTGTTAGAGGGACAGCTTTACAGCGTTTTCAAATTAGCGTTGGTATATACCGTGATTAAATTGCCGCAAATTTGAGTTTCACTTGCGATATGCCTATCGGAGATAGTAATCGGATATTTACCGCAGTATATTCACGATGTATCGCCACTAATTTCGAAACACAGTAGGGCTATCCCTGTTTGAAATTTCTTTTAACAATATATATATATTTATAATTTAATGTCGTTTATTGTACATTATTTCAGAAATGTGTTTTTTTTTTTGCTCAGGATTCGTGAAGCGAGTAACTTTCAAAATCTGGCGACCTTTCGGGGTCACACAATTGTTCATGACGTCATTTTCATGACGTTTTGGGGGTCAATCGGGGTCGTTGATGTCATGAACAATCGTCATCCGGGCTAGACATGCAAATGTGACAGTTTATCCTGGTTATTCTGTCGCAAATTATTTTCATTGACCAATCAAATGTCTTGTTATTTCCTGTATCATTAAAATTTATGATCACCCACCTGTTCGAGTGTATTGAGTACTGCAAGTTATAAGATACTACAGACCGTATATTGAACGTTGTCTGAATGCTAATGTTCGTCTGCGTGACAACAGCAAAAGCAGTGAAAGGAAGCCGAGTCTCGAGGAGACAGGGAGGTTACAATTACATGCAGTTATGTTCATAGAACATTAAATTGACTCACCTGTGACCAGTATGTTGATCAGGGGTCATGGTTCGGACTGTAATATCTAGCGTGTATGTTGTCGTCTGCTCACAAAAGTATGAAAGGCGTCGTTTTAAAAGGTAGGTAAAATAACGTCGACAGCTGTTAAGAAGACACTGAGAGAGAGAGAGAGAGAGAGAGAGAGAGAGAGAGAGAGAGAGAGAGAGAGAGAGAGAGATAAAGAGATAGAGAGAGGGCTAAAGAAAGGGAGAGAGAGAGGGAGGGGAGTTTATATGTATGAATTGAACAGATTATGGTGAACTTGATTTTGTGTGGTAATCTCGGAAAAAATCTCGGAAAAACAGTCAGAAAGTCTGGAGAAGTGAGTTTAATCCTACCTCAGGCCAAATTCCACGAGTTCTACATATTACTTGTTTGTTTAAGATTTAAAATCATGGGTTTGATTTGGTTGTATTTCAGTATACAGTAGTGTACTTGTTAAAAGGAAGCGGTCCCACTTCATGTGCCGTTTAAATATATGATAAAATCCGGTAGAAAAAAATATCTCACAGATGCCGAAAATGTTTTCCCCTTTGAGAAATATGAAGAATGATGGAAGTATCATTATACTAGAAACTGGATTGGATGGAAGGCAATTCACAATCTAAGACCATGATTAACTTGTTTTCAAATCGATTTATTGGAGTGACAGGGAATTTGATACAGTTTTATAGTAGCCCTACTGTTCTAAACTCGTGTTCGAAATTCGAGACGATAGAATCTTGTCCTTTATTTCAAGTGTTCTCAATTATTGTCAGCTTAAGGAAGACTACGGGACTGTATACTGTTGTGGTTTATTGTTTCATTAAGTCTATAACAGGAAATTCTTTCTATTTTGTGAAAGCGTTTATTTTATTACAAAGTTATGATATTGTAATCAATATGAATTATGATAAAATAGATTTATTTTGTACAGTATGATGACCAGAGAAGTGCGTCTTTAAACGTAACAGTAGTTAAAAACAATTTCAAAATCGTCGTAATTGCTCCCGGAGGTAATTAAACGAATTTGAAATAAATGAACAATAGACGACAGTTTTGTTGAAGTGAAATCAAATAGGTGTATTTAAATGCTTTGAATTTTTTATTTGGACTGAAACCCGAGTAAATACAGTAGCAATATTTGACCTGAAAAATCCAAAGTACGTGTACCTAATACAAAGCATGCCTACGAATCAATATATAGACAGCACTATTCGGCCTTCTGTTCTATCTGTTTATCTGCACTGATTTGTTTTATCACGTCAACACATTCAGTTCCATTCATTTGTTATCGGAAGGCTTCTCCTAACATTACGCCAGACAATTCGAATTTTGTGTAAAATACTACTGAAATTCATCCAAGATTAAGACACCTCATGTAATACTTTTATGACGTCACTTTTGTTTTCATGTAGTGCTTTTATGACGTCATGTTATTTATGACGTCATGATTCCGTAACCACGCGACTGGTTGATTGTTTCAGCACCTACTCCCCATGTCGGTACGAAGCCGATGGAGAATGACTCCGAGGTCCCACTTCACCGTCTGCGGTGTCTGCGTGGCTTGGGAAGGGCTGGGTTTATACCCACGGGACCGAAGTTTGAAGGTAAGGTTTTTAAATCTGATGGTTAATGGGGATAATTTTGATTTTTTTTCTTCATGGGCCAGTAACGTTTTAATATTCGGTCATTTGTAAAATAAAATGAAATTTTATGACTTACCTGTACACAAATGCGCCGGAGATTAGAGGACTTTTATCTTGTGCATATAATGAGAGGATGCGTTGAACCTGAGTTACGGTGTATCCCCTCAAATGCAGTGGTGATTCCATTCTGTAACAGATGTAACAGATGAAAGCTCTACCGGTGTATTACTTCAAGAACACTGTGTCTGGTTTCCAAACGAAAGATTAAAAGATGAAATAGAATTTTTAGGTCCCTCCTGAAGTTATCTACAGCTAGAGTGGAAAGTGTCCACTTTTCTGGTACAGATAGACATTTGAAGGAAATGATATATAGCATAGTTGCACTTCAGGACAAGGTAGGAAACTGCTTTCTCTTGTGTCCTTTTTCTACTGGAGAAACACATTCTGTACAGTTAAATTCATGAAGTGAAAATGAAACCGAAAAAAATCCAGTAGCTATTAAAACGTTGCAGACCCTGATTTTTTGAACGTGTGATTTTGAGGACTTTCTTTGTTTCCTTGGTTACGGTAAACGCTATCCCTGTTCTGATGTTACGTATATAGTCATTTCTGTGGTGACGTCACTGTATTTTGTTGGTTTATGGTATTGTTTGTGTATTCATTTCAGACGTAACTATCCGCTACATACCTAGTAAGTACTGGTTGTCATGGTTTCTAACACGTCTTAACATTCTATGTAAAAATATCTATATCAACTAACGCTTTTGAAAACAAAATCAGCACTAACTTAACCCGGTACTTTATACTGAAACATATTGTCCCTTTTAAAACCGAACTTTCGTATTTGATGCACTGACAACAGAGGCACAAAAACAGCTGGCACCTTAATTCTTACTGCCTGTAATATTAATAGTTCTGAAAAAAGACTATTACACAGGTACTGGCCAGGTTACAATTGATTTTTCATCGAATTTCACAAAATATTTTAACGAATTAACTCATCGAGCTTCGTCCGTCACCGTTTGACATGTTGACATTTTAAACTTCTTCTCAAGTTCCACAAGTGGGATTGAGCTTAAACTTGCATGAAATGATCCTGAAATGGTCCTGACCAAGTGTTGTTATTTTTGTTGAAATCCAAAATGGCCGCCATGGCCGCCATTCAAGGGTCGGCATTCAAGCAATGTTTAATAAACAACAACGCGATAGTTATACATCATACATCGATGGAAAGATAAATAATTTTTCTATTAACTTGTATATGTGTCAAAGCAATTAAATGTTGTTTTTAAAGTATCTCTATCCATTTTCCTCGACGAATTTACTTTCCAGCATATTCACAATGACTGCCACTATGCGGAAAAGATTTCCTAATGTAGGCTCAGAATTAATTTACAAGTCTTTGATTTCAACAGCCATTATATCATAAACTGGTGAACGCTCTAGACCAAGACGGCTACCAATTATTTCATGAGTAGTGTTTGGCGATTTCAGGATTTTCAGAGTGAAATCATCTGAATACCAAAGAACTTGTTTAGTTTAAATCTTATAGCAGCAGTTAAATGAATTGAATTTAACTTTTATTTATTATTGTTTGTCATTTACACAAATAGAATTTTCCACAATTGCTCGGATTAACATCACAAATAAGATACTTCGTCAGCCTACGATCCGGCCATCTCCAACAGGACGAATCGACATGTCAACTTTATATCTTACAATATATAATTTTGTTTTTCGAAACTTAACTTTATACTAAAATATTCAGACAGAAATTATCTTGCTTTCCTTTGATTGTTCTTGTGAGTCTTTTTGTACAATGATTAATTTTCCGTCGCAAAATGTAGCTTTTTGATTCGTCGATTTTCACTCTTCATTTCTTGATGAAAGAAAAATAGCTCCGCCCACTTCATGTTGATAGGAGAAGTCAATGGCAAAATCGGCGGGTCTGTTGGAACTCCTTTTTTGTACATGTATAATGGAATATGTTTACACAATCACCTGATGTGTATATCGGGAAGGGGTGGGGCATATGATATTTTATACAATGTATTTTTTTTAACATTTTGAATTTCGGACTGAAAGTCGTATTACACCATCAGATCAAAACGTCGTCTGTTTGTAAATTTCTTGTCCGGAATACACTATATGATAACAGGATGGATTTCAATCTTGGTGGTGTCTTTTGCTTTGATGCCGAAAATGATTTTAGATAAGATTCGACTCGAATTTGCGGCAAAGGCGACATCAGCTCTCACTCACCACTCTCACAATTCGTTACTGCTTTTAATTCAACAGTAATCTTTCTTCCTATTAGCGATGTAAACAAACCGCGCTCGGAGTCTCTCCGTCCAATGTCTGGCACTATACATGTCCTTTTGGGATTTGACAGACACACTGATGAATGATTGGCAGAAAATGGCGCGAATTATCTGTCACATGACGTCTGACAAGTTGTTACGCGTAGTGGTTTGTCATAAAATAATCTTTCATTAAATTATCAAATTTATTTCATGTGTATTTGTAATTTTTGTTTTTGCAACATACAGAAGAAATTTTAGCTTTGATAGGAATATTTTTTAAAGTTTCATGCTGATATGAAAGAAGACAATGTTTTACAACTTTGCCTATCATCCAGTTTGAAATTCCTTCACTTTGCATATCAAAGCATGAATATCCGAAATAACAGGTATTAGACAATGCTGGTGGACATTTAGCCGTAACCTGCAGGCAACCTTTGAATTAATTCAAATCGAGACGTGTTTCAGAATATACACATTTACTTGTCGGTCTTCTTAAATTATCAGACATACAAAATTACTAAATTGATTGAATTATTGGACAAATGCACCTTCCCATGTATATTTTGACTTTTATTTTTTTTTTAATTTTTGATCACCTCGGATTTTCCTCAGTTTCACCCTAGGCTCAAAATATTACGCCCTCAGTTTCACTTACAATACCATTGATTATGATACATTTAATTCATAACTTGATACAATTTTAGATTGTAGTAAAAGGTGCTACTCACCTGTGTGTCTTTTGTACAAAATGAAATTAAGTACAGTTTGTAATAAATATGTAGACTTTGCGCATTAGATGATCAAGTGTTTTAGTCAAGTCTAGATCTGTTACCTCTTTATATCTGTTTTCTCTTATGACCTTGTTTAATTCATACGAAACTCATATTAATAACATTTAATGTCTGTTTAATTAAAGAGCCGAAGTACCGATGGGCCGTAGACAGCTATGTAAAGCAAGGAGTAGATCCACATCCGGGCCAGAAGCAGGTTCCATTCTTTCTACGAAGGTCCAAAACACTCCAGTTGATTCAAAATAAACCATTCCAGCGGTTTTACACTCAACTTGAAATGAGTCCGACTTCAAGACCACTCACAGACCGAGATCGGTTGGAAGCTTTCAGTCGAAAAAACAAGAATAAAAACGACAGGAGGTATTCTCTCGCCTTCGTTTATAAACCCACTCCGTACCCTGGAACCCTAAAGAAGCCAAACACTGATCGACCATTGTTGAGGCGTCCGACACCATTACGAACCCCACCTGTACAAGAAACGGACTCACAGTTCAAACATTTTACAAAAAGTATGGAGTTGAAAGCAAAAAACTTTGCCACATCTACAGAGCAAGATATTTTCTATAATAAAAATTATCCGCTCTTACTGGACGCTCATCCGGAAGAAGAAGTTTCTACGTTACCACGCAAGCGAACGCCGACTCCTGAAATTTGTTTTACACCGGAAATGAAACGCGGAATGACAATAACATCTAGAATACAGAATCTGAAAATGGAAATAGATATACTTGACCAGGAAACCGATGGTATAGACTTCCGAACGGTATTGAGAGACGATGCGTTCGATCCTGCAAAATGGCCATGGAATAAGGGTAGATCAAGTTATATGATACCATCACCTTCTAGTGCGCAGTCGCAGCAACAACGTCCAAAATCCCCAAGCCCTATGTCTGTTAGCACCCTCCCCAAGAATAGAACACCAACCTCTTTTTCCCCCGGGAGGTCCCTCTCACCTTATTAACAAATAACAGACACGTGTAATATCAGGAATGTATGCATTATCCGTCCCTGCTACATTTTATAATGTTTTTGCAATAAGTTGGTTGCTAAAAGTCGATTTATCTTGTTGTTTTCAAATAACAATTATCATTATACTTAGAATTGTTGAAATAATTCCAAGAAGTTGCTTCACGATGTTGTTTTTTGTTCGAATGAAGGGACATAACTTTCTTTTTTCTTCTGTCTTTATATTTTTTTATCTAAAATAACTTATTATATTTCATTCATGTTTTAATAAACTGCATATTCATTCTTTAACAAATATTTAACCTTCTGTAATTTTTTACTTTTTTATCATATACAGTCTTTGAAAGCAAATGATATAAACGTGAAAAAAACAATAATAGTTTCATCAGTGACTGAAAATTTGATCTAGAACAATTATTGATATTACGTTTATTTTAACAGATGACAATTATAATTGTATATACATATATATACACATCCGCTTCTGTATGTTATTAAAGAATGTGCAGTACTCTCAAACGAAAATAAATAACCACAGAATCGATACTATCGACTTTATTTACATGTATCTGTATTTATAGATAAATCATTAAATAATATGTGTAGGAAGATCAAGAATACCAAATTGAATGAGCAACAAGAAATCCCCGAATCATTTTTGTGCCCAACATAGTGTGATCTTCAATAAGTCTTCAGTCTTTATTTTCTCTTTTGTTCTCTTATTTGTCTGGGCACTGAACTTGAGCAATAGGCAGAATGGGGAACCTACATATATAGTAGAAAGATTCCTTAAGAAATAGTGATTACAAGCTATAACAGTCAAAATCCAAGATGGCTACCTGCCGGCCATTTTGTTTTTCCATTTAGTCCCAAAATACACAATACACAACTAGGGACTAAGGGTAAGTCACATTTGAAATTTAAGAATGACCAATTCAATTCTCTTCCAGATATAGCGAAAGGAAACTTTTACCATTAAAAGCCAGGATGTGTTCCGTTCGGCGCGATTTCTTCCGACCAATCCTAAGTCAGATACCGCATTATGCACAATACATAGCTAGGCTTGAGAAATCTACCGCTACTTTCAAAATCAACGGTGGCCACTCGTAAGCTATTTCATCTTTCTGATCACTACTAGTATTCTATAATGCACATCTATGGACAAAGGGAACCGCAACATATGAAATTTGAGAAGGGTTCATCAGGTACCTCTCCAGTGGTGTCTTTTTGTTTAATTGTCACATTGAGGTCGATAACACTGAGGTAATTATGAATAACTTAGCTGTGAAAAACAAACAAGTCTGATAGAACAATAAACAAGGCAGGTAGAACAATAAACAAGACTGATAGAACATTAAACAAGACGGATAGAACATTAAACAAGACTTATAGAACAATAAACAAGGCTGGTAGAACAATAAACAAGGCTGGTAGAACAATAAACAAGGAAGGTAGAACAATAAACAAGACTGATAGAACAATAAACAAGACTGGTAGAATAATAAACAAGGAAGGTAGAACAATAAACAAGACTGATAGAACAATAAACAAGACTGATAAAACAATAAACAAGACTGGTAGAATAATAAACAAGACTGGTAGAACATTAAACAAGACAGAAAGGACAACAAGGCAGGTAGAACAATAAACAAGACTGATAGGACAATAAACAAGACAGAACAATAAACAAGGCAGATAGAACAATAAACAAGGAAGGTAGAACAATAAACAAGACTGATAGAACAATAAACAAGACTGGTAGAACATTAAACAAGACAGATAGGACAATAAACAAGACGGACAGGACAACAAGGCAGGTACAACAATAAACAAGGCTGATAGAACAATATACCAGACAGATAAAACAATAAACAAGGCAGATAGAACAATAAACGAGGCAGATAGAACAATAAACAAGGCTGGTAGAACAATAAACAAGGAAGGTAGAACAATAAACAAGACTGATAGAACAATAAACAAGACTGATAAAACAATAAACAAGACTGATAGGACAATAAACAAGACAGAACAATAAACAGGGCAGATAGAACAATAAACAAGACTGATCAAACAATAAACAAGACTGATAGGACAATAAACAAGACAGAACAATAAACAAGGCTGATAGAAGAATAAACAAGACAGATAGGACAATAAACAAGACTGATAGAACAATAAACAAGACTGATAGAACAATAAACAAGATAGACAGGATAATAAGAAAGACTGACAGAACAATAAACAAGACTGGTAGAATAATAAACAAGACTGGTAGAACATTAAACACGACAGAAAGGACAACAAGGCAGGTAGAACAATAAACAAAACTGGTAGAACAATAAACAAGGCAGATAGAACAATAAACAAGGAAGGTAGAACAATAAACAAGACAGATAAACAAGACAATAAACAATAAACAAGACAGGACAACAACGCAGGTACAACAATAAACAAGGCAGATAGAACAATAAACAAGACAGAACAATAAACAACATAGGTAGAACAATAAAAAAGACTGATAGAACAATAAACAAGGAAGGTAGAACAATAAACAAGACTGATAGAACAATAACGAAGACTGATAGAACAATAAACAAGGCTGATAAAACAATAAACAAGAGAAATAGGACAATAAACAAGACAGATAGAACATTAAACAAAACTGATAGAACAATAAACAAGACAGATAGAACTATAAACAAGGCAGGTAGAACAATAAACAAGGCTCATAGAACAATAAATAAAACTGATAGAACAATAAACAAGACTGATAGAACAATAAACAAGGCTGACAGGAAAACAAGGCAGGTAGAACAATAAACAAGGCTCATAGAACAATAAACAAGACTGATATAACAATAAACAAGGCTGATAGAACAATAAACAAAGGTGATAGAAGAATAAACAAGACTAATAGAACAATAAACAAGGCTGATAGAACAAAAAACAAGACAGATAGAAAATTAAACAAGACAGATAGAACAATAAACAAGACTGACAGAACAAAAAAAAAGACTGATAGAACAATAAACATGGCAGGAAGAACAATAAACAAGACTGATAGAACAATAAACAAAGGTGATAGAACAATAAACAAAGGTGATAGAACAATAAACAAGACTGATAGAACAATAAACAAGACTGATAGAACAATAAACAAGACAGATAGAACAATAAACAAGGCTGATAGAACAATAAACAAAGGTCATAGAAGAATAAACAAGACTAATAGAACAATAAACAAGGCTGATAGAACAATAAACAAGACAGATAGAACAATAAACAAGACTGATAGAACAATAAACAAGGCTCATAGAACAATAAATAAAACTGATAGAACAATAAACAAGGCTCATAGAACAATAAATAAGACTGATAGAACAATAAACCAGGCTCATAGAACAATAAACAAGACTGATAGAACAATAAACATGGCAGGAAGAACAATAAACAAGACTGATAGAACAATAAACAAAGGTGATAGAAGAATAAACAAGACTGATAGAACAATAAACAAGACTGATAGAACAATAAACAAGACTATTAGAACAATAAACAAGGCTGATAGAACAATAAACAAGGCTGATAGAACAATAAACAAAGGTGATAGAAGAATAAACAAGACTAATAGAACAATAAACAAGGCTGATAGAACAATAAACAAGACAGATAGAAAATTAAACAAGACAGATAGAACAATAAACAAGACTGACAGAACAAAAAAAAAGACTGATAGAACAATAAACATGGCAGGAAGAACAATAAACAAGACTGATAGAACAATAAACAAGACTGATAGAACAATAAACAAGACTGATAGAACAATAAACAAGACTGGTAGAAAATTAAAGAAGACCGATAGGACAATAAACAAGACGGACAGGACAACAACGCAGGTACAACAATAAACAAGGCTGATAGAACAATAAACAAGACAGATAGAACAATAAACAAGGCTGATAGAACAATAAACATCAGACTTTATATGTGTAGTATCAATCTGCTTTTCAGTTATCTAAATTCACAGAAGCACAAACTACTTGATTCAGTTTCAATTGCAACTTTATTCAAGTAAATTTAAGACTTATTGAGGTTTTAATTTTTCAAATTACCTCCCTTTCTTCCTAATTTGAGAGCAGAATTGGTCAAAACACACCCTGCGGGAAAATCTATATTACTCGATAGCTATTCGAGATACACAGTAAAGCGATATATCGTTTTGTTCGTGTGATCGTTTTCTAGACACTCAGAGGGATTTTAATGAAATTAAAAAAACTAATTGTGATGTATAAGGTAGCAGTACACAGTTTCTCGGTGTGGCCATGGGTGATTTTTTTGCTCATTAGATTACCCCATTATAAAGGTTTTAATTAAAAATGAAAAAAAAAATCCTTGCTAAAATTGGTCCTGTCATGTTAAAGTGGACAATGTGGGGTTTCATTTTTTTCAGGATAATATTTTAGCTTTGTGTTGGAGATTACTATTTGGGCAGTCTCGAATCTGTGTCTACGCACCAAAACTAGCTTTACAGGAAGTGAAATTTTCATAGTGTTCACATGTGGTCATGTTATGAAGAATTTCCGACTTGGAATTTGCTGAAATGTAAGTACTTTGTTACCATGACAGTGTTGTTGATTGTAAGATAGGTGTTTAGAATTAAATTTCTCCTTGAAAGTTGTAGTGTTGGGTTGGAATTAGCAGTATTTTTGCATTTTTAGCATTTTTTCTGTAGGTAACCATGACAATCAAATGTCAGAAATCAGAGGAAATTTTTTTTTTACACAAATTTCATTTCTAACCAATCTGCTATACCTGTATATCTCATGACAAATAATTTCATTGTTATATAGTTTATAAATATATATACATATACGTCCCATCTGCTTAGCCTTCTGACCACACTGCGAACAAACTGCTCTGCTTTCCAAAATGTCTATGACTTTCTGTATTTCCATTTGTCCCTTCAACATAAATTGCTTCACCTTACGGACTTTT